TAATGAATTTGAACTCTATAGAAATAAAGACCTTGACCAAGGGGAATCAAATGAATGAAGAAATAAGTTTCTTAAGTCATTCACTGTGCATTAACTTATTGGAATTTGACAAACATACCGTATTCTAGACTTAACATAGAGCTCTAAAGATGAAATCAAATATTATATTAATCTTTTAATAGTTCAAAAGTAAAAAATATTACTTTATTTCTATTCGGTTGTTAAGAAGTGTTGTTAGACGTCAACCTTGATTATTAAATTAATGAGTTAATTTACTACCAGATTAGTAATGAACCTACAAGGTTACACACTAATAAGTCTTCTGTTTTTTGTTGGACGAGAAAATGTTAACGATTAAATTAAATAGTTTAATTTTATAAATTTTCTTTTAAATGAAATATTATTGTATTTTTTCTAGCACAAAAAATACAAATGATATTATTCAGTCATATGTAATATAATTAAGTGAGATTTAATTAAGATAATTTCAAATGTATGTTTAAATTAATAAACATGATAAGATGTTATTGATTTAAACGTTTGAAAAATAAAATAACAAAACCAAAAAGAGAAAAATAAGGTTGTGGTTATTATATGATAGGAACAAAGAGAGTCGATGGTTGCTATTTTGAAATATATACCACAACCTAAGTGGAAATGGATCCTCTGCTATATTGGACTCTTCAGTACACGTAAAAATGATGACATGCATCATTTGATATTTTTTAACGGATTTTAAAATAAATTTAATTAAAATAAATTTTTAAGTTTTGAAATGATTATGGGCCTCACAATCTAGTACTGGAGAGGATCCCAACCTAACCTAAGTACATTGATAGGAGTCCGCATAGAAGAAAACAATTCTTCTTCATCTCTTGTTTCATTATTTTAGAAGACAAGTTGGCTAAATTCGTTTCACGGGACAAGTGTTGATCCAAGAAAGATCAATCTCGGTATGAATACACGTATAGAACTTTCGTACTTTTGAAGGAGAAAATTTTCTAAAGCCATCACAGTGTCCTAGTGTATTTTTTATAAAGGTTTTTTTTGGCTCATTGTTATCTGACATGCATATTTTAACACAAATAGATGTCTTATTTTCCGCTGTGCATGTTAGAAACACATATTAACATTCGATTGAAATGAGTAAGTTTTTGTATTCTAATTTATGATTTTACACTGCAATATTACTTGGTTTTTTAATCTGATGGAAATTACTAAGACAATGATGACTTGAATGTTTTGAACTGTGAATAATTTTTATTTCATCACATGGTAATTACATGAAACAATTAGAGCAATGATAATTTGAATGTTATTGATTTTTTAATTTCTTCACACATCTATTGGCTTTTAATTCAAACACTGAATAATTGAAGCAAATCATCACAATGTGAAAAGTTTTGCTGTCAATGTTATTGATAGCGATTACATTATGCAAATTTGGTATATATATAAAATGTATTACTATATAAGAAAAAAATGTTATTCATGATACATGTCACTCTCCTCATAAAAGTTTTCTATCTAAAACATGTTAATTGCTTATGGTGAGGTCTCGCACATTATAAAAATATATATCACTGTTATTGCACTCAATGGAAAAATATATAATTCTTAATTTTAAGAACATGAATACATTCAATATACTTCAAATTTTCATTCATTGTGGTAATACAATAAATTGAAATTGAAACCAAATTGTTTCATTTTCTACAACTTTTCCAGTTCAATTTCTTATTTTAATTTTGTTAGAATATTCAAATTTGAAATTATCATTTATTTTCATTATGTGTTTGAATATGCTAATACACAAACACGTGTATTCTTAACAATGTGAATGTATGGATAACATATATGTTTTAACTTAGCGAATGCACATGTAACATGTGTGCTCTTAGCAATGAGAATGTACGGGCAACATGTGTATTTTAAACTATGCGAATGCATGGTTCACATGTGTTCTTGAAAATACAAATGTACGGGAACATATATTTTTTTAACTATTTGAATGTATGTGTAACATATATATTTTTAACTATATGTATACTCATATAATATTTGTGTTCTTAATCATACGACAATAAATTACCGCCTCATGCTTATGCACGAGTAACTTGGTAATTAGTTATATATATTAATATGTTTAATTCAGCAAAACATATTTATGCGTGCTATATGAATGTGTTGCTGTTATATAATATGTGCGTCCTATAAATATATATAATTAGTTATATAGTATATTATATATATATATATATATATATATATATATATATATATGGAGTTTGCTAATATGAGGAAACTTCAATCCTCCTCCTCATTTCACTTTTTCTTAAATTCCAAATCCCTAACTTTCTTTTGTCCCTAAACTTAATCTCTTTCTCTCTCTAGCAAACCCCTACACCTAAAAATCTTTTTCTCTCTCCGCATTCTCAAAGTCCATTTCTCTCTCATCATTCTTAAATCCATGAAAGAGTGAAATGTTAATTCTCTAATAAGAATAACACTTCTAGTTTCTCTAACAAGTTTGATACACAATACTAACATGTACCTAACTGAAAAATTACACATATATGTATATATATATATATAATTAGTTATATGATATGTGTTGTTGTATGTATATTTCCTTCAACAATATAAATGTGTTAGCAATCTTTTTGAGTTTTTTATGTTGATGTTATAACTTCACATGTATTAATCAATGATGATTAATGATTATACTAATTTATAAATTAGATTTATATATCACGGTTACAAAATAAATAATATGTATATTTGTATATATATTAATCATAAGTTTCACATGATGAAATGTGATATACCAAATTATTTTAATGCTCATAAAATTATTTTGTTTATTAAGAGTGCGCTAATTATTTAATTTCAAGAGACAATATGGCTAATAGATGAATGATGTGAAAACTAAGTATTTGTATCACATTTTCTTTAAAGGCATTTAATTTATATTTCTAAGGAAATATTAATTTCTTATATTGTTATCGTAGGAAGTGAAAGTATTTTATTTGCGATATATTTCTTTACATATATATATATGTTCTCACATATTTGTTTAACTGTATAGAGATATGTCTTCTTTATCATTGTGTTCGATACTTGCTGATGAAAAGTTGGTCAAAGACAACTTTTATGACTGGTACTGAACTCTGAGAATTGTTCTCATGCACAAGAAACTTATCGATACGATCGATAAGTCTGTTGTGCCTTAACCAAACAATAATGACCATGCTGAGGCACTTAGTGCTTATAAGAAATGATTTCATGAGAACAAAATGCTCATCATAGCATCAATGAGTTCTGAATTCCAGAGGCAACATGAGGACATGAACCCAATTGATACCATCATACATATTAAGAATATGTATAGTGCACAGAGCAGGACAACTAGATATTACTTGTCTAGGATTTTATTTAGGTTCACATTGAATGAGTGCTAACTTGAGACCCATGTTCTAAAGATGATTGAACAACTTGAAAAGTTGGGCCGCAAACTTGGGAATGAATTATCCCAAGATTTGATTTTACAGTTACTCCCTGAATCGTTATCACCATTCATTGTTAATTTTAACATGAATAAGATAGATGTGACTTGCATGAGATGTTGAATATGTTGATTGACTATCAGAATCAGATTGACTCTGGAAAGAACCATGGATCGTAACAGTTTTAACATCATGAAAACACGAATTGATTTTTTACGAATTGCAAATGTTAAAACTACTGCAAATATCTAATACTCATATTGAAGAACCTGTAACAGTTAAGGAAATCATGAAAACACTTTTCATTAATGTTTCACATTGATTTTTTTCTTTTAAAGAATCAAGATATTCACGGCAATTCCCGAGTTCTTTCCAAAGTCAATCTGATTCTGATTGTCAATCAACAGGTTCAACATCTCATGTAAGTCACAATCCATCTTATTCAGGTTAAAATTAATAATGAATCGTGAGAACAAATTAGGGAGTGATTGCTGTCGCGCCCGGATTTTCAGCCACGCGACCTCTTGAGGAGTCGCCACCACGTCTTTTGCGGTTAAAACGTGGAAAACTCGAATTATGCCCAAATTGGATAAAATTGGTCTTTATGATAGAGTTATGAGTTCGGGAGTCGATTACGGACCGGGGAAGGTATTAGCACTCCGTCCGCCCGTTATTAAACGGTACCCTAACTAATTGCATGCTTTTAATTTACCCTTATTTTATTGAAATTAAATTGAATAAAAACAAAATGTTTATTTTTTATTTGTGTCTAACAAGAGTTTATCTTACTCCTACGTATCCATAGGTGCAATAGGGAAATCAAGACTACGTAGTTCTTTAATACCGTTTGTTTGTTGGTTTGATTAAAAGTTATTAAAATTTGGTTTGAGTTTAATTGAATTGAGACTAATAGACGACGAGTCAACATTGACTGCTTACCCTCTTCTCACTTCGATAAATAGCAACTTCGATAAATAGCAGAAGCAGTACAAGTGACCGTGACTGGTTCTCGGCTCGAAGTGAGAAGAAAGATGCAATACGAGTTGCAACCTCGCTATTGAATCCCAAAAATATCTTTATTTTTAAAATAACTTAAACATTTTTAAAGAGAAATTTAATTAATAAAAAGTTAGCATTGATTATTAATTGTTTTCTTACTTCGATAAATAGCAAAAACAGTACAAGTGACCGCGACCGGTTCTCGGCTCGAAGCAAGAATTAAAATACATTATTCATATCATCACTATTATATTCTTTAACAAAATTAGTTTTAATTATAGAACTCTTCTCTATTTGCAACAAGGTTTTTATTAAAACTTCACAGATTTAACTTTTATTTTTAATATAATTTACCGTTATTAATTATATAACAAAAACACCCATTATCATATTAATAGAGATATCATTCAATATCTATGTTAAGAAAAAAACCATATATCTACCAATACAAATTCTGCCATAATATTTCATGTTTGTGATAATGCCATGGGCTAAAAGCCCAAACGAAGAAAACAAAACAAAAAAAGAATGGAAAGGGGTTAAAAGAAATTAGTCACACGAGAAGAACTCACTAATCGTTGTTGCGATGCCGACGACAACTGCGGAGCACGGTGGGCGCGGCTAGGGGATTCGCGGTGGCAGATTGAGACTTCAAAGTCGCAGGTGATGCGGATTCGGCAGTATATGGTTCGAAACTTATCATCTCCTAAATTCTAAGTAAATCATTTACTAAAAAAAAAGTTTTTATGCACTTATGTTTGTAGATATTTATGATAGTGATTAAACCCACAAGTCTGATATGCTTATTATATGTATTTTAAAAGCATGATGGATGCCAAAAATTATGCTAATGTTGTTTTATTATTATATAAAAAAAACGCCACAGTGAAGGTGAATTTCATGAATATTGGTTTTATGTTGCCACAGTGAATAAAATGAATGTCATATGCACTACATGTTGTTTTGTTGTTTATGCTGGGAACAAATGAATATTACCTATGCAGTGACTAAACATGAATGCTGTATATGTCACTTTTATTTTTTAGTTTAAACAGTAAGTAAAATGAATACCATATGTTGGTTTTTGTTGTTTATGCAGTGATTATGGAATGCAACGGATCTGAAAGCTGCAATGAAGGCATGGCATAGAAGTTCATATAATCAAATAATTATGATACTATTTCTACCAATTTGTTTTATATGTAGTTTAGATCATTCAAAAAATATCACAAGTTATATTGTAATCCACGCATATGTAATTTTTACTAGATGACATAGGTAGTATGTGATGCTAAAGATTAGAGTTACTAATGACATAGGTAGTATGTGATTATAAAGACTGTAACATTATGGACTAACCTTGTGCCTTTGCTGGATGTATGAATGGATATGCCTCCTATCCTTTTTCCGAAAACTTGCTTTTCCAGTAAAATTTTGTGTATTACTCTCTGTGCTTTCTGGTGGTTTTGTGTTTTATGGGTTCAATATGTAATGTGTGTTTTTTGTGTGAGTAGTAACTTGCCATTAATAGGGGTATGCTTGCCATCCAACTTCCCACCAAAATAAGGGGAAACACCCACTATCAAAATCTGGTTACCAAATTTCACTCCTAAGAAAATGGAGTCACTTCCCTGAATGCAGATTTTTCTCCTACTTTTCTATTTCTTGTTATTCTTTTTCTTATTTTCTTTTTTTTATTTGATTAAGAATTTTTGAAATAAATAAATAAATACAAAGCTTAAATAAAGTAAAAAGAAAGTTGAGTAAATTAATGTTGGGCTTCTTTTATGGGATTGTAAAAAAGTGGTATTCACAATTGCAGAATCAAATCTTGGGATAACTCTTTCCCAAGTTTGCAGCCTAACTTCTCAAGTTGTTCCATAGGACTAATCATCTTCAGAATATGGGGTCTCACGTTAGCATTCATATTCAACGTGCACATTAATAGAGTCTTAGACAACTGATATCTAGTTGTCCTGCTCTGTGCATCATACATCTTCTTAAGATGTGTGATGATATCAATTGGGTCCATGTCCTCATGCTACCTCTGGAGTTCAAAACTCATTGATGCTAAGATGATGCGTTTTGTACTCATGAAGTCCTCTAAGTACTTCTTATAAGCACTAAGTGCGTCAACATCATATTATTGTTCGGTTCAGATACAACAGGCTTATCGACCGTATCAATAAGTTTCTCGTGCATGAGAACAATTCTCAGAGTTCGGTATCAGTCATGAAAGTTGTCCCCGACCAACTTTCCATCAGCGAGTATCGAACGCAATGATAAATAAAACATGTCTCTACAAAATAAAACAAATGTGTGAAAACATATGCATGTAAATATATATCACAAATAAAATACTCTCACTTACTACTGTAATAATATAAGAAAAATATATTTCTTCTAGTAGAAATATAAAATAAATGTCTTTAAAGAAAATGTGAACAAATGGTTGTCAAATCATTTTCAATACACATTTTAAGACAATTATATCAAATATAATTTTATTCAAAATAGTTACTAACAAATAACTACATGTTTGTGAGGTCATTTATATAAGTATAATTAAATTAATCTTTAAACTTCCTAGGTAGTCTAGGCGATTAGTGATGAAATTAATTTTTTATTGATTGATATCACATACCCTTTTAATTCTATCAATTACAATTCTTCTAGTAGTCAAATTGTCTTTTGAAATTAAATAATTAACGCAATCTTAAAAATATATATTATACAAAATAATTTTATGAACAGTAAAATAATTTTTTCCATCATATTTCATCATATAAAATTTATGATTAATATATATAGAAATATACATATTCTTGAGTTTGTAACGGTCACTCATGAATCATCATCAATTAATACACTTGAAGTTATAACAACAACATAGAAAACTAAGATTGCTATACATTCATATTGTTAAAGGAAATATAAAAATACCAACATACATATCATATAACTAATTATATATATATATATATATATATATTTATACAACATACATATTATAACAGCCAAAACATTCATATAACATGCACATATATATTTTGCTGAATTAAACAGATTCATATATAACTAATTATATATATATATATGCAGGAAATTTGGATGATATAATCATCATAAATAACATTCACAACATCACTGTTCACATTGTGATGATTTGCATCAATTATTCATTGTTTTTGAATTAAAAGCCAATAACTATGTGTTGAAATTAAAAAATAACATTCAAGTCATCACTGCTCACATTGTAAATTAGTTCATACAATCTCTATGTGATGAAATAAAAATTATTCACAGTCCAAAACATTCAAGTCATCATTGTATCACTAATTTCCATCAATTTTAAAATTCAATTAATATTGCAGCATAAATTAAAACAAAAAAATTCAATTAATATTTGTATTCCTAACATGCACAATGAAAAATAATATATCTATTTGTGTTAAAATATGTATACCAAATAACAATGAAACAAAAAACTTTTATAAAAATATCTCATAAGGCTGTGATAGTTTTAGAAAAATTTCTCCTTCAAACGTATGAAGATCCTACATGTGTATTCACATTGAAACTGATCATTGTTGTATCACCACTTGAATTGTTAAACGAATTTAACCAACTTGTCTTCTAAAATAATGATCCAAGAGATGAAGAATAATTATTTTCTTCTCTGCATACTTCTATGCATTGTGCTATCAATGCACATAGGTTGTGGTATTTATTTCAAAATAACAACCACCAACTCTTTTTGGTTCTATCACATAGTAACTACAACCTTATTTTACTCTTTTTGATTTTGTTATTTTATTTTCAATCGTTTAAATCAATAAATGATCTTATCATATTTATTAATTTAAACATACATTTGAAAATATATTATTTAAGTCTTACTTAATTATATTACAGATGACTAGATATGCTAGCAAAAAATACAATAATATTTCGCTTAAAAGAAAATTTATAAAATTAAATTATTTAATTTAATGGTTAAAATTTTCTCGTCCAACAAAAAGCAGAACATTCATTAGTGTGTGACTCTATATGTTTATTACTAAACTAGTAGTAAATCAACTCATTAATTTACTAATCAAAGTTGACGTCTAGAAACACTCCTTAAGGACCGAATAGAAATGAAGTAATATCTTTTACTTTATACCTATTAGAAGATTAATATAATATTTACTTTTATCTTTACAACTCCATAATATATTACTCTATCTAACCTCTCTACTAGGTTAAGTGAGACAGGTGGACTTTGACCAATTGAGTCTTTCTCCACGTAGGAAGGGGATGAATTGTGTTTGTTATGTTTTTAAAAAATATTCTTTATTAAAACATTTTCACGAGAAATTATAAAGTGATGGAAAATATAAACTATTTCCAAAAAATTAACAAACAAGTTTTAGTCGCATAGAGTAGAAATAATGAGAAGCAATAAATTGGTAAGAGACAGAGACAATAACATAAGTATTTTCATACTTTGATTCACTCTTAATAATTACGTTCAGTCCTTCTTCAGACTCAAACAACTACGTACTCATTCTAGACCAAACTTCTCCACGCTTTCGTATCTCAGTAGAATTGGGTGGTTCAACTTTAACAACTCACTACATGAGGATATGAAAAACTAAGATCACTTGAGTCAAGTACTCAATAAGAAACAAATCTTAAGATTTACAACTATAATCTCTCCTATTTTTTTCCTCTCAGTTTAGTTGGCCTCTAGGAAATATAATTTTATATATACAATAATGTATTGTTATAAACTTTATAAGCACTTATATTTTCATGTATATCTATATGCCTCTTGTTGTACGTGTATCTGTGCGTTAAGATTCTTATTCCTTTTACATATGATTGTAATATCTCTTTAATATGTTATAACACCATTGGTATTAATCTTTAAAACCCATTTTGCAATTAGAGTTAAAGCATATGGAAATTAGACATTATTTCATTAGGAGTTATGTGCACGAAGATTTAATAAATATTCAATTTGTTGAAACCAATCATGATGAGGATATATTTTTACAAAATATATATTTAAGGATAGATTTATTTTGATTCCAAAGCATTTGAATATTCTTTATTTGACTAATTAGTCGTCCAATAAGCACTCTATTTAGTCATACATTACTATTCGTGTCCAATATAGATAACAAGTCATACCCAATATTTGGAATCAGGATACTCTCCATTACTTGTACCATTCGAAGTAACTCATCGGATGCAATTGTATTTTGTTTTGATTTGTTGTGGACTAGTCAAATGCAAGCTATCTATGTTCCATTTGAATGGACTCTTCAATGCATTATTTTAAGATATATGCTATGTATTGTCGACTCATCCAATAGATGCTTACATGGTTATTTTCTTTTCAGACTTAATTTTTATACATCTGGCCATGAGTTTGAGTTAGAATTTATTCTGTCTCCTTGCAGAGTTGGTGCTACCAATCCCATCAAACACCACTCACACACAAATCACCTGATGGGTTATGTAATCTGCATGTGCATAGCCTGAGCATGTGCTTCACTATATTAGCAATTAGCAACAGCAACTAGAAACAATCTTAGTGTGGTTTTGGATTTTAGAGTATTGTTGGGAAGTAAGTCCCACATCGCCTACCTCATTGTCTCAGAAATGGTTTAAATATTTGTTGGACTACTCCTCTCATAGTCAATTGATTTTGAGATGGAACATTAACATGGTATCAGAGTCCAACTTCTTTTCTCTCATCCATTTTGATATGGAAACTATGCTGTCATAGGATTCAACTTTCCTGAATTGTTGAGCAACTATACATGTACTAGCATGTATATATAGGATAATTTGTTTCTTACATGGTATCATGGAGCTAGAGTCTAGATTACATGGTAACATTCTCATTTGCTTGGGACAGAAAATGGGACACCGTTTGGGATAAGTGATCTCCGCTTAGAACGAATTGTGCATCATCTAGTGATTCCTCCTCATTTTTTGAATGAGGAAGATAAAGTTATAGACCGTGTTAATATTGAACATCAAGTATAGAAGTAATAGGATCAAATTCTCTTTGCATGGCTTCTTAACACAATTTCTAAGCCGGTTCAACCATGTGATGCACAAACTCCATCTCATAGTCGGCATCTTTGGTCGAAACTCAGAAATCATTGGTCGCAACACATAAATCTCACAAAAGGAGGTAAATCGATTATCTTCTTCAAATCAAACTTCTTAAATATTTTCTCATATCTATTGGACTCCATGTTTTGGAAGCTGAGCATATTTACCTAATCCTATAAGGATTTGTTGTATCGGTAGCCCGCAACAATGACACGAGATAATCTTTACTGTATCCGATGGCAGCGATCAAAGCCCACTGACTTCATCTACGGCAGAGAGAATCCAGGCGCGGATTCAC